ATCGTATAGATAGAAAGGAGAGGGACCATCAAAAAGTTTACTGTTATGCTGTTCAAGTTGCAGCTCTTAAAAAGATGCGATTTTGGGAGTTTCTTGGAGCACTTGTATTTTGACTTCACTGCTTCATGTCGCGATTTGATGTTGTGAAAAACTTGTAGACTTACGTGGAATGTAGCTCGGGACCATCGGTACTCCCATGTAATATGCAGCGAAATCTATCAAACCGGCACTGAAAAAACAACGAGCTATTTTGGAGGCTTCTTCGAAGGTATGGAAATTTTATATGGTTTCCTGTTTTCTATCATAAATGAACATTTCAGGCTTTGTATTCACCGCGGAACAAGAATATAAGGAGCCAGATGCATTCATTCATCCGAATTCGGAAAAATATCAAAAAATGCCTCTAGTTGGCTCCTCCCACAACTGTAGGCGGAACTCTTTCCAAGGTGAAACTCCAGTTTGGTCCTTATCAAAGTCCTCTTGAAACGGTCGTTTACCTATTATCTTATCCATAGTGTTAAAGCCCAGAGGAGCGCTCTCAGTACTATGGATAAGATAATAGGGAGTGTCCCCCCAATATATTGAATTGTATATTGAAAGTGGGTTTCACCCACTTTCAATATATTGGCCTATCGTCACCTGGAAATCTGCTACTGGTTGCTTAGCGCTCCTCGAGAACACCTGATTGCATTTCACACTCACCGAAATTTTCGTCATAAGCTTATACTATATTCTGATTCTTACAAACCCCCACTTGACAGGTATCCATGAGCCCATGCACCTCCTTAACCCTTTTAAGCCTGAATAAGTTTTTTTTTGTCGATAAAATTCTTTTTTCGTACAGTGACGGGCGACTGCAATGGCGGTGGCAGTGGCAAATAGCAAAACCTGGAAGGAAACGGTTGTCTGGAGCGATCTCTAGCTGATAGTAGAAAAATGTTGTCGAGCCGGCATTACAGACCTCTTAATTTTGTTGTGGCAGATGCCATTACCAGGGCCTTTTGCTCCAATTGCTGTCCATTCTACGTGGGTCTGGTTTCCAAAGGGTTTTTCTTTCGGAAATATGTATCAATTTTTGCACGAAGCGTTGTCATGATCAGTGAACTGTGAAGAACCTTCACAGAGAGTAGAGAAGGTTCGGACACCGAGGCACGATGCCTTAAAGGCAGCGATACGATAAATTCAAGAAGGGTTCAGTGTGACGTGGTGGTGCTCAATGGTACGCCAGTAGCGAAAAAAGCAGAAAATCCGTCAAGAAAACGCAAAACGGGACCCCTTTTTTGGCCGTTGGTTTTCACTCATGAACAGGTAACAGCTCAAAAGGACGTATGAACGAGTTCACCGCAACGCGTTTGGTGGCACCATGCAAATCGAGATGCTCCAGTTGTGCCGCTGCTGGCAACGCAGCTCGTCCAAATCAACAAGTAAACTAGTGGGCGGATCGCTTTTGGGGGCGGAGCGCTTTCGAAGTCCTGCTCAGCAACCAGCGCACCTTTCGTTGTGAAAGCGCCACATCTCGCTTCCCTGGCAGCCAAGTAACTGATTCGTGTGGTGCTCCATCTTTATCGTAATCGCTGCTCTTAATGGATGTCAAAACATACCTGCTTAGCCAGATCCATGAAGGTATTTTCGCATAGTGAATAAGGCCAATTGGACACGCGTCCGCCATATAAGCAAAAGCGAGATCAAATTTTTGAGACACAGCCAGTCCAGAAAATCTTTGTTTTCAACCACTTCTAAAAGAATAATAATGGTAAAAAGAGCTTTCAATTTGAAGGGATAAAGGACAGAACATGTCAATGCCAGCTTTCGCTACCGACGTCCTCGGCTTACTCGTAGTTGTTGATAAATCACCTTCGAATAAATGAATATCCTAATTTAGACATTTATATACGGAACTACTCCGATTACCGGTGGCTATTTGGTAAGTGTCAGGTATCGATAAAGCGCCATTTGTACGGCGGCTGGCTCCAATCCCAAGACGGAAGCCAAGGTGAATAAAAGTGCGAAATAGAAGCCATCAAGGCAGATTGCGATGGCAGACACCCCTCAAGAGGTAGAGCTCACAAATTGGCAAACCGAAAGTGGTGCCGGTGTTTGTGACGGGAATCAATCAGTGGACGTCTGGCACAAAACACAGAAGTGACAAACTTTGGACCTACCTTATCAGGTGGCTGCTTCTTTCACGTGATAAATTAGGGATTCAAAGTGCTTCCAAATGGCACACTTCACCGCTTCCGGAAGAAACACTCGTATGAACTCAATCCTCTTGTAAAGTTATGCAAAACGTCCCAAAGGTGGCTTTTGTTAGGTGGGTCATCTACGCCTCAAACGTAATGCACTCCATGACAATTAATTTATACTTCCAGTTGGGCCGATATCAGACTTTGCGAATCGAGGCGATCGCTGGCGTCCGCGTGGCGTCGCGCCCCAACGAGTCGAGCCATTCGCTGCACGCGACGCGACCACGGACGCTGACGAATCGCTCGATTCGCAAAGTCTGGCATCGTCGTCAACGCGAGCAAAGTTCAATAGGTCTAGCACCCTTTGTAAGAGCACAAAATCTACGGGGGAGGGGGTGGGGTGGGGTGGGAAGAACCACATTCTCTCCACGGAATAATTACAGTTTGCTAAATAAAAACCGTAGGCACCCAATTGAATAATAAAGAACGCATTCTGCTTCAAGCAGACCTTCAGCAACTGCTCTCGTATTTACCAACGCTTCAGAAGAAAATTTATGCCAACGGCAAACATGGTGCACGCTGCCCTACGAGGTCTTCAACGGAACGTGGACTAGTACGGCTTTATCTAAAAAGCTGATAAGAAAGGATGTTGGTATTAGTAGGTATAGTTAGAGCTAGTGCCTCTGGGAAGGTTTCCACAAGTTGAAAAGTTATGTGGCAGCCTCAGGCCGGAACAATAACGGTAGGCCTCTTCGAGTTCAACGGTAAAGCCAAATGACATCATATCCTGAAGATGATGAGGGCAGTCAAAGAGGGTCTTCTTCTGCTTAGGCCGATGTCATAGTTTGCGAATCGAGCGATTCGCTAGCGAATCGCTCGATCCGAGCGTTGCGCCAGCGAATCGAACGTTGCACCAGCGAATCGAACTTTGCGCCAGCGAGTCGAACGATGTACCAGCGAGTCGAACTAGGTACCAGCGACTCAATAGTGGCGGGACCCAACTTTCAAAGGAAGCCCGCCACATTCAAACAGTGTCACGTGACAGTGGACGCTGTTTGAAAGTGGCGGGAGTTGACAGTGGCACTGTTTGAAAAGTGGCGGGCTTCCTTTAAACGTTGGGTCCCGCCACTATTGAGTCGCTGGTACCTAGTTCGACTCGCTGGTACATCGTTCGACTCGCTGGCGCAAAGTTCGATTCGCTGGTGCAACGTTCGATTCGCTGGCGCAACGCTCGGATCGAGCGATTCGCTAGCGAATCGCTCGATTCGCAAACTATGACATCGGCCTATGGCGGATATCAATCAACGGGGTATTCTGTACAAGCGAAAAGTTGGTGATGTGCACCATGGAAAAAGTGACCTGCGGCTTTTTTCTGTCGCTCCTGTGCACTGAGGACGGTTTTTCCAATCTCCTACCTGACCACATGACAGGCTGAGCTTTCTAGTATGTTATTATTTTCGTCAGACATAAAAAGCGCTTAAAAACATCATTGCTAACATCTTGGCTAATTGGCAACAAGCATTAACGTTCTTTTTCTAACTTTCAATTAATTCTCTTTCTAAGGCCTTAGCATACATTTGTCATATCTAACGATTGTTTCGACACATCTGAACGCTACTATATGTATGTACATAATATCATTTACAAAGCTGTCCATTGCTTCAAATGATCAGGAAGTTTTCTAAGTTTGCTTCAGCTTTCTGGCTTTGGACACTAAAATGAATATCTTGAAGATTAGGAATCTCAATAACCTCCACAAAATGAAAATCACTAGAAGTACAACTGTTGACAAAAATGCTATCACATCCAGTGAGTGATACTGGATGAAGTTGAGTTTTGTGCCGGCCGGAACGAGGTTGTCGAGCGTCTTGAATTCAGCAACGAATTCTGCCCAAGCCACACCAGTCGATGAGCCGGACTCACAGGCTGCTTCTTCACCATCAACGACAATCGTTTCACGTTTCGTGAATAACTGAATTCACTAGGTTTCTGAACTTGTCGTAGTTGGTTGAAAGAAAATGGCCGTGAATTTCTCCACCTTTTATCGCTGACAACTTTTGTGAGAGCTTCCGTCACAGTAGTCGCACTTATGTCGTCTTTTCGGAGGTTGACAGCGATCCAAGCTTTGCTGCCAGTTTCGCATTCCTTGGTTGATCTCCCCATAGAGCAATGGCTATCAGCGGAAACACCTGCGGTGTATCACTTTTCTAGATAAACTGTTTCTACATATAATTTTAACAAAACTAATGAAACGCTATTGCAAGATACGGGGACAGCCTCTAGGACCAAGCCTAGGAAGGGACAGGAACCTCGGTTGATCAAAATTGCCCACACCCCCTTAACTCTCTGTTGCTTCGGCAAAGGCTCGGTCCCGATTGTAATAGAAAGCAGGTGTTCTACGCGGTCTCAAGAATGCATCGCCATCACTGTGCCCCCGTGTCTTGCGATAGCGCCTCTAACGGTTAATTTCTTACTTGTAAGCTGTTATATCCACCATGGGTTATGAATGCGACAGTTTTTGGATGTCTAAGGAGATCCGCCTGCGGTATCCATTTGAATAAATGAACATTTGGCGGAAGTCTATCTGAAATGACACTGTCAGAGTTCACTGTAGGACGGTCCTTCCAGAAAGTTTCTAGTGCTGAGCCTTTTTCCTAATGGAAAATTCTTGCAAACAAGGGCCGGCCTTACCATTCAGATCGGATCCCTCATATCTGAACACGAAATGTAGGTTCTTGAAACGCGTGAACGCCTCCAAAAAAGCTTTTTCCACGTTTCTGGCATAAGATGACTCGGAAGCGATTGGAGCCCAACGAAAAACACCCACCCGCGCCTTCACAGTTCTGCGCGCAATTCGATGCGAAATTGCCTGAGAATGCTGGCAAACTGCACGTCACGAGGTTCTTAAGACAGATTGTGATCACTTCAGGATGAAGGTGAATTATGTGTTACTCCTAAACCACTACTGTGGAGTGTCCACGGACTAGATCAGTTTGAAAAAGTAGCTTCTCCGACAATGTGCAATCTTGGTGCTGTCCACGCCGCTCTTCGCTTTCACCGATAGTGATGAAGGATTTTGTTTATTTGTCCATTTCGTTGAGGGGGGAAATCCAATCGTTCATGTGTATGGTATGCAAGGGGGGAGCGGGGGGGGGGGGGAAGAGAGAAGAGCGGTTTTGCCAACGCAAGGGAAAGGCGCAATTATATGCGGCGAAAGTGTAGGAAGCTATATGGGTGCTTATGGGTGGAGATCAATGTCAAAAGTCACGTTGGACCAATTTCGAAAATTTTACGACCACCCTCCCCCTCCAGAGGGCCTCGATACGACCCCCCCCCCTCCCTCCAGGTATACATCGATAACGAACGTGAAAATTTTCGCTCTCAACCCAAAAGCCCAGCCTACAATAACCCAGTCTTCGTTTCATAAAAACATCATACCTTCCCTTACTGTAACGTAACATTGACGCTACCTCGCGAAGTACGACCCCCCCTTTTCCACCCTCCAAATACGACCCCCCACCCCGTCGTTGGGTCTTCGTCCAACGGACGGTTGACCCTGGTGGAAATGCGGAAGGGGTGCACACACGCTGTGAAGATCATAAATAATCGAGCGAATGTAATCAAATGTGCTCCTTTCACAATTTCATTCGCTACGTCCCGCCCTTTTTAAAGGATACTCAACATACAGGAGGAAGTGGTCGAGTGTCGTTGAGCTGCATTCCAATGCCTCCGATGTTCACAATTTTTGCCAGTGTTGGGCGTGGCAGTTCATAAACCTCGTTGGAGGTTCACTCATTACCTGAATCTGATACAGCATTGAGTTCATAATTCATCGTTGTTTGAAGTTTGTCTGCTGCTAGCCAATGGACAGCTGCTCTGTGAGTCGACGAATGGTGAGGGACAGTTTGGATGCAAATTTCTCGGAAAAATCCCGTTTCCTGGTCAGCGTACGTCCTGGTACAAAAAGAATGAATCTACGGTCCTGAGACTGAAGTTTTTTTTGAAGGATCCTCTATGATATCTATTAAGAGGTTGTGCAGTATGCCCATGATTTTTAGGGATTGAACGAGATTATTCAATAAGTATCGTGAATGTGCGTAGTTTACTTCACTGGAAATGGCTAGTGCTTACCTTCTCCAAATGTAAACGGTCAGGAGTTGCCCAATTAGGCTTTTCGTCCTCTCATAAAAATTCATCTCATCAGTGCTCTCCATCGCAATAGCTAAAATTGCACAGACTGGTTTTTAATTCAGAAGTCTTCATTAGAAACTATTTCTATTCTTCTTCATTAGAATTTTCTGCTTGCCCTTTGTAAAGTTGGTTAACGTTGCCGAAAATTTTCGCTTAGAATCATGTAGTGGTTCTTTTTCGTCCGGGAAAAAAATGCATTGAGAACATTTTCTCTGCCTTGTATGAGCGTGGTATGACATGATTCAGAGAGGCAATGTCTGAACTCGCAGGCAAAACCCGTAGCAATATGAGAAACTAATGCACATCGTTTCACTTGCTACTTTATTTGAAAACAAAACCCAAACTTTAGACAGCCTCCCGTAGGCAGTACCTTATAGTTATGTGGTCAGCGTAAAAAAGATGCAGAAATTGTTTGTTGATTTATAATAGAAGACGCGAATATCTTGCCACTGCCCACATCGAGTGTTGGAGTCAGCTGTAATGTACCCTACCTCTAACAAGTAGGAATTCCGATATGTCCCGCTTTCTAGAGCTCGAGTCGTCGAGGATCCACCGTCCGTTCGCACTACTGGAACGAGGGGGTCGCATTTGTAACTTCGGGAAGGAGGTCGCATGTTGGGGTTGAGTAAGGTTACCATAGTGGGGGGGGGGGGGATTGAGGGATGTCGTTAAAGGGGTTTGTTCTCGTATAACTATTTTGTAGTAAAAATTGGGGCAAAATTGATGATTCTGCATAATTGCTACACTTCCCCCCCCCCCCATCATTACGACGGTCAAAAGCCAGTTATTTTTGCGTGAAATAGAACAATGATTTTTCCGGGAAGAATTCTTCCACTCAATGCAAGTATAACTGCGTGCTGTCTAGCTGCTGCGATGGTGATCTGGATCTTTGTGGCGCACAATTTGCTCGGAAATGTCGGGGCGCAAAAAATCTGTACGGCATAACACACTAAGATAGACAATAATGACGAGGTTCTACAAAGAGAGAAGTTGAATTTTTTGAATTTTGCTCGGATTTCAGCTTATCGTATAGATAGAAAGGAGAAGTACCATCAAAGAGTTTACTGTTATGCTGTTCAAGTTGCAGCTCTTAAGATGCGATTTTGGGAGCTTCTTGGAGCACTTGTATTTGACTAACTAGATTGCAGACTCACTCGAGATTTCCTTCATGATTTTCACGTCACTTGAATCTCTGTCAGCGAATCCTGCGATCAGTACCATTGTTACATCATGACCAGCCTTTGCTAACGTTTCGGCCACTCGACTATTGAAGATGACCTTGAAAAGTGTGTGACTTGGTTTTGTGCACTGCACACCACGTCTGCAACTTGTATGAAGAAGTCACCTGACTGTTTGTTATGTCAGGCACGAAAAGAACCATTTTGTACGCACTGCTCCATCCTAGAATAGAAATCAAAAAAAGAAAGGATGTGAATGGCGGCGTCATTCCCGTCGGAATGACTCTCCTAGAAGTTGTCGTTTGCAAATGAGACGCATCAGTCTTGTTTTTTGATTGAAGACAAAGAATCGATCGACGAATGGTACAAAATAGTGAACAGGACGAGGACGCACTTTTACCTGATAAGACAGAGGACCCGAAGCCGGGGTCAGCTAGCGCACTTTTCCAAAATTTTGAGACCACTACTCTTTCAAGGATCTCGATACGGCCCTCACCCACCACCACCATCAACCTTAGAAGGCTCCCCCAAATAGATCTGCTCCTCCCACTCGACCACCCCCTCAGCATCACAGCTGTTTCTATGGTCATTGGGGAACGTCGAAAACGACTCTCGTTTCCGCAACCGCGACCCTTCAACCTCCCCCCTTTTCACACTTTTCCCAAAGTAGCTAGAGCCTTATTAAACCCTAAATACACCCCCCTAAAACCACAAATGTGACGCACTCGTTCGATTAGCGCGAACGGACGGTTGACCCTACCCGATGCAATCCTATAAAACAGTACACTCCTGCCTATGAGAGAATGTTTGTGAAGAGTGTCGCAAAAATTGGATTCCATAAAAGATGTAATTTGTTTAATGGTTGAAGCTCGAACGAACAGTAAATCGGAGCGCAACTTAATCATGTCAGTTGAAGACATTCCATGCTCTATGTCAAATGGTATGTGGAATGTTCACATGATTAAACAAAGTATTTTTGAACGGAACTGGTGTAGTGGCAAGTGGTCAGCCTAACCCCGTCGAGGGATCCGGGGATCAAATCCTGGGTCGTGCGTCGCTCAGCGCCAACGGAGCCTTCCATTCCTCCGCGGTCGGTACCAGTCTTTTCTAGGAGGATAAAGACACTGACTTGTACATCGGCTGGCCCCGCAAGCCATTGTGTAAGTCCCATTGCATCCAAATGCCACTACGAACGTAGTAAATGAATAAAAGAAAAAAAAAGAATCCGTGCCGCATCCCAAAAAGGACTGATCAACGGCAAATGCTTTATCCTTTACCCTTTTTTTGTTTTTGGGTGGTCCTTGTTACTCTTAGTTACTAGTTGGTCAATTAGTAGGCGTTGTTGCTGAGAAAATAGAAGAAGTGACTGCATAGTTTCCTTAAAAACACATTTTGGAGCATTACTTTGTTGTTGCTTCATCGCAGATTTCGCCTAATTAACTGCCATTTTCAGAGTTTCTTTCAGAATTTCACTACTTTTTACAGAGTACCTACTGGCTAATGGCTGTTCAGAAGAATTCATTCAAGAATTGGCAATTTGAAAAGTTGAATTTCTTTTTTAGGAGGCAGTTTAACAACGCGTGTGAGTTCCAACGAATAAATTTTTGAAACGCACGCGAATAGCTAGTTTCAAAGCTGTTTTCACCGGAAGTCGACACTTTCCGACTTTCTCTAGACAAGTGTCAGTGAAAGGTGCGCCTTCATTTGGGTAGAGAGCGAGATGAAAAAAATAGAAGGCAACGAATTTTTCCAAGCTCCTTGAAGTTTATCATCGTTAATTTTTCAAATTACTTCAAGGCGTGAGCCGATATCAGGGTGAAAATGGTGCGAGGACGTGGTCGCAGCAGTATGACCCTCTCAAGCCCGCTAAAATCGGGGTCTTGATACGAGCCCCTGATCAATGTGAAATCAAGTTTATGGAACGGCTACAGTTTTCGTGCTTGAAATCTGATCTCGACTCGTGGTCTTAAATGACAGTACATGCACTATCAGCCTTAAGCGTCCTCTTATCATCGAGCTTGTCGAGCGGGCATTGCCTCGCCCCACTCGCGTTCCAATGAATTCCAGTGGGTGCTCCTTACTCTAGAGACACATTGTCAATATTCTCCTCATTGTCAATATTCTCATCAGACGCCTGGGGCAAAATTTTTGTCCACAAATCAGCATTCTTGTGGAACATTCTCGTCAGAGTTTTTCTGAAGAAGTCCGACCATCGGTCCGGTACTCGCCGTAGCGTTCATTTGACTCCCTGGAGAAAGGCCTAAAACTGTCCTTCAACGCAGATCGCATGCTCGTCATGTCTGCGCAATAAAGCTATGGCTTTTCGTGCTATAACAGTAATGGGAGGGCTGCTAAATACAAGAATAATAAGGAATGCTTCATGTTTAGCAAAGGATTTCTGAGCCTAACCATTTTTTGCACGTTCCAACTTCAAGCTTTATACTAGCATAAACAAACAAAGCAGAGTGAAAATATGTACAGCAAAGCAAATCAGAACAGGATACAACAATCTCAAGGGGAATTCTATGGACGGCAAGATTTATGTTTCAATCTATCTCATTTGCATGCATAGACCACGTGATCATTCATAGGAACTTGTTTCTCAGAATTCTTTAGTCTGATTACTTCCGTTGTGTTTTGTCGTTTCAACTTTTAGTTCCAATATTTCCTCATTCAAGGACAGATCGTAGAAGTGGATTGATTTTTGACAGCCATGAACTGCATCTCACATACCGGAGCCAGCACTAATAACCACGGATCGTAAGGCGAACCTCGTTAGACGCACGATGAAACGTTACCACTATCAGAATCTTTTCTTCCGAATCTTCTGGTTCCACATCATGCAGTATTTCATTGGCTCCATCTTCTGTCTCTCCTTGGTCTTCGATTGAATTAGCCGCTGATTGAGGTGTAAACTCTCCCCAATATCTTACGGAATTCAGCCATTTCATTCGCCTGAATAAGGTTTTGTTAGCAGGGCCTTTGATGAGTTTGCCTTTCTCGTGTATGCAATTTTAATTCAGGTCAACTCACGCAATTGCAGATTTCGCAATTAGCTCTCAGATGAGCTTCATGCGATGCGCATGCGCTCCGCATGGTCCTCTTCGCTCGCAAAATTCGCTCCGGTCCCACGCGGTGAAAAAACCCAAAACGCGTGTTGTTTTCAACATGTTAATGTAAAATACGCTACATTGAACTTTTGCTCAACGGACTCTGCTCATATCGAAAAATTTCTACAAGGACATGACAAGAACTACGCAACAGAACAACATATCACGGTGCTGATTTTAAGATATTATTTTAACACATTCACGCCGATGGCCGCCCATATGGGCTGCCAACAACATGCGCTCCTGGGACGATGGCAGCCCATATGGGCTGCCAACTGATAATCGCTTGCCAGGCGCTAGGAATGGACAGATAGGTGGGCAAACCTCGTAATCGAGTGTAAAATGCTTTTAAATTCCTTCACGGGGAAAGTGAATAAATGCTCTCTTTTCGTAACCACTATTTGTCGTTCTGATCGAAATCCTACTGTTATATGTTTAGATAATCTTTACGCATTGGACATTGCAGAAATTATTTTGTGACATTCATGTTTTTGTTCATTTACAAAACAAAATCTGCGGTTATGTGGTGAGGCGGCGGCGCCCACAAAATCGCGTCCGTCCCACGCGACCGAAAAGTGGAAAAGGGGCGTCGTCGAATCTGGGTGGTCCCCGGGCATTTTGGCACAGCGAAGAAACTACTGAAGTAGACTATCTATTCCACCTTCAAACCCACAATGAAATATGAGTTAGAGAGTTGATGCACGATCAGACAAACATTCACGGGTTTTACCCATTGCATAACAGAATACACAGATAGAACAATATTTTTTATGAACTCAACTCGAAACGAACATTAGTGAACTACAACGGATAAAACGACTACTTAGAGAGTCCCAAGAAAGATCAGGGGCCTATGGCCAGTGAACTAGAGTTCCAGATTGGTAAGTTTCATAAGACATTCTAAGGGCCGGAGCCCCACGGGACCGTAGCGCAAAAAATTTGAGAAAAAATGAACCGCTCGAAGCGGAAGTAAAGACAAGAAGAATTAGGGCCGGCTCGTGACGAGAGCCACCGTCGTTGCCGAGGGTGGGATTCCCGCACGATCATGTTGATTGTAGGGGTCAATTGCTACGGTGACCACCGCGGGCGTCGCCGCACCCGAGGGTCCCTCGGAGTGATCCTCGTGATACACGACACTCCCGCGCCTCCAAAAGACCCTCTATGGGCGTAAGCCTCAGGCTTTTGCCTTATGGCGTAGCGCGCGACAGCTGCATGGCGACCCGCTGCCGTTTATATTGCAGCGAAAGAAAACAAAAGGGGTCACTGACCATCGGGTTTCCTTCTCTTAGAGGAGACTTTCTTCTACAAATCGACCTGCTTCAGCTTCTGATTTCAAATATGAACTACTAAAAGGCTTCCCTATAGTTACTTTCTCAAAACAGCTTCTCATGGAGTGGGTTAGTGGAACACAACAATAGATGAACAGATAACAAGGAGTTAGTAACAACTTGTGAAAAGAACAAAAAAGATCTTCGACGAAAACACCAACGTAGGTCTGAAACTGCTATCGAAGAAACACGTTTTACCCTGGAAATAAAGGTCTAAAACCATAGAAAGAAAAACTTCAAAGTATCCTAGGGGTAGTTGTCCCCAGCAAATGGAAAAAAGTGGTCTCACCTCAAAGGGATCTGCCGGACAAATTGCCAGTAACCCGAAATGAACTAGCGTAATTTTGACTTCATGGGGTGAGGTGCCTACTTGAACTAGAACAGACCATTGGGTGAAAAAACGAAACACTGAAATAGCTTCTTGAAAGTGTAACGTTTGAGAACAAAATCAAACACTGAACAATTTCATGAGGTGCAGCCTTGAGTTAATTGTTGAGTTAATTGAAAATTGAATGAGTGAACTATCTCTTTCGTATTTTTTGTATTTTATTTTTTTTTGTTTTCAAAGACCTGCTTAATTGAAACTGAATTAGTTGAAAAAACAGAACGGAACTGGTTATCGGAACGAAAAGCTGAACTAACCAAAAGATGAAAATACTGAACCACATGTAAGTATTCTCTATGTTTACCACGACTCATCGCTGTTTGGGGAAAACCCCAAGTTTTGTTTGTCATTTGTAGGAGTCTGCGAGCGTGGAGCCTCTTCTCTCTGATTTTCGGGGAAGTCCAATGGATCGTCGACTCTTTCGCGGTCTCTATATGGGCGAGCGT